ATAAAAACATAAATGTTGGGGGTGAATAGAAGTGAAAAGTTTAGTATATGACAGAAAAAAGTAAAGTTGTCAACTTAAAATATCTCTTACCCATAAAATGTGACATTATATGTCTAATAACCACAAAGCCAAAAACTATAGAATATATGCAAAAGACAGGGAGAAGAAAATTGAAAACTGAAGCGCATGCTACAGAAAATCCTGTAAATAAAAAGGAAGATAATTAGAAAAAGTAGGGATCAAAGGACCTATGAACAAAACGGCAGTAGAAAGTCTTTACTCAACCATAATTGCCTTAAATATACACATATTAAATCTCCAAAGAGTGCCTTTGATGTAGTGATTGAATGGATAAAAACACATGAGCTGACCGTAGGAGGCCTGCACAACAGTCACCTCACCTGTGAGAGCACACATAGACTAAAAGTGAAAGGGTGGGAAAACACCCAATTTTCAAATGGAAACAAAAATAGAGCAGGAATCGTTACCTTCATACAACGCAAAATTATAAAAAGAAGGCAGGATGTAGAGCCACAGGAGTATTATCTTGGCACTCAGAAGACAGAGGCAGGCAGATTTCTGTTAGTTTTAGGCCATCCAGTTCTACGTAGCAAGTTCCAGGCTAGCTGGGACTACATAGGGAGATACTATCTACAAAAAATAAAGATACCCAGACAGGGAAGGTGATTAGATAATGAGAAAGAGGCCAATAGTTCAAGAAGACCTAATAGTTATAAATACATATTTACCCAACATTAATGCACTTAAATATATAAAGTATTTGTAGACCTTGAAAGAGAAATAGACTATAACACAACTATAGTGAGGGAAGTCAAAACTCTACATTCAATAAGGAACAGACCATTCAGGCAGAAAATGAATGAGGAAACAGCAGGCTTGAACTAGTGAGCACTGAACCTGACAAATAAAGAATACTTCTTCCAATAGCAACAAAGTGCACATACTTTAAAGGGCACCCAGAACATTCCCCAGGAGAGAACAAATGCAATGCCACCATACAACATGATTTCTTAAAAATTTTAAGAATATTAAAATCATCAAATATCTAATATTTGATGAAACTAGAAATCAGTAATAGTATGGACATTGACAAAATGTGGAAATTCAATAAACTACTATGCAGTACCCAGTAAGTCAAAGAAAAACATCAAAAGGGATATAAAAATATGTTGAGTCAAAATAAAGAAAATACAAAATGCTGAACT